CAACATAGGCACCTACACTATCAACTTTTCATGGTCATTAACTAACTTGTCACACAAGCATATAAGTTCTACATGATACTTCTATCTCACATTGTCAAAACAGCTATCATACATATCATTCTTGTTATCAAGAAAATAACTACACATATATATAACAACAAGACATCCCATATACGTGAACCGAGGTATATAACTTACTAACCAATATAGGCCCACTAAGCCCCACATAGTCTCTAGTAATGCTGATTTTAATATTTAAGATCAATTCGTAACATATTAACCAGAAGTCAAGTCTCTGTCAACGGTAGGGTCCATAATCCTAGTAATCTAAACCAAAGATTCGCCTATCAAATTTATGATCCGTAACTACCCAAGAGTCTCATTACTCTTTTAGAACAACATACTAAAATTTCATTATAATACATCAGTTGGATCTCCGCCAATCGCAAATTCAAGTAGCGATCAACGTTTGATTTTACGAACTTAGAAATCCAATTCAGGAAGATCCTTATGTCAAATTCCCAATATGTAAGTTCCTAATGTACTCAAATATTATGTACTATTACATATTTAAGTTTGGTGCCGATCCAACAGGTCAGATCGTCAATTCATATAATGACCCCGTGACGGCCAGCTAGATGGTCAACTACGAAACTATATTAAAACCTTAGAATTTCACTAAAAAAATGTCAAATATGAAATTGAGGCATCAAAATTTTCCTAGGATGGTCAGGAGGGGGTCTCAACCCACATGACACCGCCACGTGCCGCTCTGATTCGCCAGAAAATTCAACTATTTCAAAAAATTACCAAATTTTACAGGCATGTAGATCTTAATAAGGGGACTAATTTTCATACCTGTGGCTAAGGCCAATTTGGCCCGGAAAAGCTCCAATTTCCCTCGAACTCACTAGAAACCCTAAAAAGGGTGTGCCTTGATATATCACATCCGGTGCTCCGCTGCCCCCAAACCTGTTTGGGTTTTGTTCCTAGCCTCTGGAGGAGTGTTTTGGTGGTGGTAATTGAAGGATTTAGCTTCAGGATTTTAGGAATTACCACCACAAACTCGTCGCACCCACTGTAGGTTTTTCACAAAATTGAATCCAATTTCCGTTGGTTTTTTAGTGGAATTGGAATAGGAGAGGTAGCTAGGTTGATTCTAGGGGGTGGGTGGCTTCAATTTACTAGGAAAATTTCCGTAAAAGGTGTCGTGATTACCTTGCAGCGACTGTGTCCTGGTCATAGAGGAAACCGGGTCAAGGGGATCTGGCAGAGTTCCCCTCTTTCTCGTTTCTCTCCTTTCTCTTGCCTCTCATTGGTCTATCCCCCTTTTTCTTTGATTGGGCAGCCAATGCACTCCCTCCTTTCTTTCCCGCACCTCCTCTTCTTCCTCTCTCACTTGCTGTCATCAGGCTTTTAGCCTTTTTTTTTTTTTTTCTTTTGAGATTTCCCCCCTCTTATTGGTCCCTTCCCAAATTAATAGGAACCCCTAAAAATATTAAATCCCTTATTTATTTAAGAAACTTCTAACGTGCATAACTTCTCTTTTCTCGTCCCGATTCAGAAATGGCCTTCGCCTATGTGCTCGTGGGGTTGAGCTCAATTCAAAAACATTAAGAGTGACCCCTGAAGGTCTACGGATTTAAATAATTATTTTCAAAAATTTAAACTTTGTAATTAAGTAATTAAAATCTAAAAATAATTTAAATTTCCAAAAATAATATAGAATCTCCTTGATATAAATACATAGTTTGCAATAGTGAAATCCAGGAACAGGATTTCACACGTCAATTAGTATCAGAGCAGGGATTTGCCCTATTATAAATGCAATCAATCGTGGGGGAAGATATACCTTAAGCAACGTTGATCGCAAGGTTGTTACAATAAATGCGGTGTGCGCAGGGGGAATTGCCCTGAGCCAACCTCTTCTAGTTGATGTTGAAGATATTCCTATTTTCTTGGGAAGTGATTACATTGAAGGTTTTCTCTTGTGGATTGAGGATGTAGAGAAACTTTTCAAGACACAACCAATTCTAGATTAGATGGTGACGTGTGTTTATGGTGGGATCAAATGCAAGAGTCTACGCGACAACAAGGTAAAAATCATATCCAAACTTGACAGTTGGTTGAAGCGCCTAATTGTTAAGCAATTCTTTCCTGATCTTTACAAATTGTATTTGGTAAGAATGGGTCAAGCAATCATTAGAAAAGAAGCTACAATGATGAAGACTGAACTTTCATTTTGCCAAGAAACGATGGAGGTCAAGGTGGAAGAAAAAGAACAAGAAATTTTGCTTGTTAAGAATCATGTTGAAGACTACCTCCTGGAACATGAGAACTCACAAGTGGAGACTCAAGAAATTCAAGGTATGGGTGATTCTGAAATTGTTATTGTTACATCCCACATCGATCAATGAAGAGGGGGTGATGTGCCTTATATGTATATGCCCACCTCCATATAGCACAAGGCCTTTTGGAAACTCATTGGCTTCGGATTCCATCGGAACTCCGAAGTTAAGCGAGTTCGGGTGAGAGCAATCCTAAAATGGGTGACCCACTAGAAGGTTCTCGTCAGAGTTCTCAAAAATAAAACCGTGAGGGCGTGGCCTAAAGCGGATAGTATTGTGCTACGACGGAGCTGGTCTGGGATGTGATAGAATGGTATAAGAGTTTGAATTATTACTATTTTTCCTATAACTCGTGTTCTTTATAGAATATCTGATGGATGACGATATACTAATTAGAACTTGTTTTCATACACTTCTTTATAGTAAAGATGATGGATGACTTTATACTATGAAGATGATTTTGAGATATATGTACCTATGTTTTAGAAAGATTATGTTCAACGTTTTATGCATACCTAGTGGTCATTATATGCCTATTTGGCAAATGACACTGATATGCCTGCTTGGCAAATGATATTGTTATGCCTGTTTGGCAAGTGATAGATATGCCTGTTTGGCAAATGAAGGGTTCTGATACTGTTACTAATATTAGATACCACTAGTTAGCACACTATATACGAGATATGTTTTACGGCATGCTAAGGTTTTCGGAAAAACCTATTACATATTATGTTATTGTTTTCATAAAACTTTGGGGGTTAGTATGTTGATAACAGTTTTATTATATATGTATATCAATTTGGTCCACTCATGTTTGTTTTGTGCTCCCTTCAGGACTTAGAAACGAGGCGTACAATCCCGACGTCAAGGCACTTTCGCATCGGCATCTTCGAGTCCTCTCAGCATGGGACCCATTCTTTTATTCATTCAATTTTATATTATTTCCTTTAGTGTTCTAGTTAGTTATATGTTCTGAACATGTTCCTCATTTGCATAATATTTATAATTAAATTTCTATTATCTTATTCGTATTTTAATTCCCATGCATTCTAAATGGCTTGCGTCACCTTCGAGTATCAGCCAGCACGTGCCTACCCTGATGTATGGAGAAAATCAGGATCAGGGCATGTCAGTTATGACTTTGGAGAATCATCAATCTAATAAATTGGAGTTAAATTTCATTGTGGATCAAACAAGAAAATTAGAGGAGGAAAAATATTTTGATTATCGTTTGCCATATTTTAATCTTGTTTATGGAATTAACTTCATGATTATTCCACCTAAGAACATTGAAGGTTCGGCTTCTCGAGTTGAAGAATTTGTGCTTAACAAGGAAGTTATCTGCTAGCTATCAAGATCGTTTCAAGGAGAACTCGAGGTCAAGTTCTTTTCAAGTGAAGGAGTCTAATGTAGGACAAAAATTTGATTATTACGCTTGCAATAAAATTAAAAGAAGGAAAATAGGAGCAATAAAGCAAAGTAGCTTAGATGACCGCTACCTTCATTTCTGATGCAGTCGTAGAAGAGGGGTTCAATTCTCCCACAAAAGTAGCTTGAGCCATCTTTTGCAAAAATTCGTCAAAACAATAGTCTATTTGTTTACTTAAGCCATTTGTCTTCTTGTTTGTAATCATCTTTTCAATCTTTCAATCAATTAATCAAACTATCCTTTTGGGATTTCTATCTAACTGGTGGACTCCAGACTTTGTTCTACAAGGATTTACACTGGTAATCCTTCTTAGCTTCGTGCTGCGTCACAAAGCTTTTCTTCTGTGGTCTCGAACTTGAAGTCGAAGGTATTGACACCATTGTAGATGCCATTATCCATGTTGCTGGTAATTAATTCCCCACTAGTAAGACTATCACGCTGGGTCTAGAATGGAACATCACATCAGGTCACCGTTGCTAGTTGCCTCACCATCACCCTAGTCATTGCCAGCAGCACAACCTTACAAACAGTATCCTTTTCACTACTTGTGATTGTTTGGGTGACGGTATACCTTGTGCAGAAATTATTATTGCTCATGTTGAGATTGTTGCCGACCTTGATGTGCCAACACAAGGTGTGTCAGTCGTTGCTGGTAGAGTCATCGGAGTCAGTGACGATCCAATCATCCTTACTAAGCCTCCACAATTTGCCCGAGGAATTCGACTTTATGCGGATGCTCCCGTCCGCATTGGTGAAAACCTGGTTCCTCACCATTGGATCTCCAATTTTGGTGGTTGAAACTGCAGATACAAGTGTCCGTTGTTCAAGCGGCGCTGAGGTAGTTACCATTGTGGCCTTTGAACGCCACTTGTTTGGGAAGTGTCACGACCAGTGATTCCCAATCGAGGACTGCAAACACACTAGCCACATCTTTTGAGATAAGCATTGGGGGTGGTGACACGAATATGATACCCCTGAATGCTAAGTTACTCGTGAAAATACTTGCATAGTTTCCGAATTGGACACGGCAGAATTGGAGTAATATACTTTAATACTTTTAGCATAGTCATCTAATTGGTCGACAGGCTCGAATAAGGTACATGAGGTTTTGGATTTGTCTTCCTTTGATTCGTCAGCCCCAGCAAAAATCCCCATGCCAATATACGAACTTACGAGGGGTGCGGCAAATCTTTTAGTCATACAGATAAAATCATTCAATCTATGCGAATCAAAGTACACATCAACTCTTATAACCCTCCTATACTTTGGCAGCAAATATCTCCTGGAGAGCAGACCAAGTTCCTGAAACCCCAAGAAACAACTCCCAACACCAAAATGCTCACATCAGAGCACCATTGCCCCCACCCCATCTCACTCTTGAACACGATCAGATGATACAGAGTCGGCACCACAAACCCTAATGCACAGCACACACCACTCCCCACCAACGACATGAAATCCGCGAAATTGGGGACCAACAATGCCACAAAGATCACTGCCAAAACCAGCATCCATCTCATCCACAAGCAATACCTCCCTCCCCAAAACCGCCTTTCGACAATCTCATACACCGGGTTCATCATTATAGGCAATGTGAAGAACAGATTCACCATAAGGCCAAGCTTCACCAGGGTACTAATCAATCCTGCACCGTAATTAGCCGTGATCATATCCTTGGTATGGTCCCCAAATGCAAAATAACCAAGAGCTCCAAAGCTTCCATACATCAGTGAAATGAATGTCATTGTCCAAGCCAGAACCTTCCCAAACTTGTCCTTATCTTTCGCCTCCGACTCCAATGGCAGAACCATCCTAACCCCTTCGAAGGAGTACACTGCCACGCCTAGCCCGTAAAAGAACAGAGAAAGGTCTCCAAATGCCTTCACTTCCGCCATTTTTTTCAACATAACCACCACATCCTCCACCATCACAACCCCCATTGCTCCGAGATCAATCACATCAGCAAAAATACTCAACGGGGCCATATATGGGTCAGTGTTGCAATCAAATTCAACCCCAATTGGAAGGGAAAACACCCCCAAATGCAGAAGCTTTTGGGTGCCAATCCCAAAATCTGGGGTGTCAAATCGGATTAAACCCCTTAAATTACCAAAATACCCCCCCCCAACAACAAAAATTGTAATTTTATAATTAAGCTGATGCGGACAATTACATTTAGACCCTTCTATGATATATTTATTATCTAGCTTACCTTTTCCCAATAGTTACAGTAGGGTGCAGAGCACCAAATCATTAGAGTTTCCATTTCATTCTACCATATATATGTAAGGTTGCGCCTCTTTGATGGCTATGAGAAATATGACAGCACTTCTATCTTTGATTTCCTTATTGCACTTACTTCAAGCTTAATTTTCTTGAAAAGGTCATACCATAAGCCCTCGAGGTTTCGATTCAAATTTAGTTTTCAACATTATGTACACGTACATGAATATGATTAGGGAAACACAAAAAAAGTATAAGAAATTGAATTTTGAGGCTCGAAAATTAATTAGGACACCCACTTAGGGGCAAAATAGTCATTTCACATCTTGGAAATAAAATACAATATTTTAAGGAAGGGGATGTAATAGTATGTTGCCGTTGTACAAGGATGGCTAACTCAACCATCACTTGTTGAATTTGAAAATTTGCTTGCCAATCAAGAAGCTATGACTAAACAAATGGGATGGGTTCCTAAGGGGCAAAATAGTCATTTCACATCTCGGAAATAAAATACAATATTTTAAGGAAGGGGATGTAACAGTATTTTGCTGTTGTACAAGAATGGCTAACTCAACCATCACTAGTTAAATTTGAAAATTTGCTTGCCAATCAAGAAGCTATGACTAAACAAATGGGATGGGTTTCGTCTAAAGGTGAGGAGGAAGCGCTCTACACCAAAAAAAAAAAAAAAAAAATGTAAAAACAGCTTCATGTCGGTGGTGGATCTAAAAGAAATGTTGACAAGGCGAAAAGTCATCAAGGAGAAGAAAGTTCTTGGCCATGGGGGGCTCCAAAGTATCACAGCAACCGTGGTCATTTCATGTTATTCGTGTGATTTCAATTTTACAACAATAATTTGTGAGTTCAAATTAATTTAGTGCTTGACGTTGGCCTCAAATCTAAACAGTTGGTAATATTAATTAGCAGCATGCAAATGTGGAGGCTGCAACAAGATTATGGAACAGATATTGATCTTTTGAATGAAGCCGTACGTTCAACTTCAAGCTGAAACCCATCTCTTTACAGCCAGTGCCACTTTGTAAAATAAACTTCAGTAAAAAGAAAAGAAGAATACCTTACACATGGGTTGGTTGTAGTACAGAACAATCCACGATTGCCAATGTCATCATCCACTTCCACTCGCTTCATTCTCATCACTTCGAATGGCTTCGCCCCCATCACTTCCACTCGCCTCAGACTCATCTTGTCGCATATCAGCTACTACTTCAGGCTCCTTCGAAATAACTTCTCATTTTAACTTCTCAGCATCGTCGGCATACAACAGGCAGATCCCACATTTTTCCACTTTCACATAGGACACGAGTTGGTCACAATTCCGTGGGCAAAAGAAGTGAACAGAGGCCTCGGTGACGCGTTTGCAAAAGTCATTGGAGAGTTTTGCTTCCTTATCAAGTTCGAAGGCGTTATACCACACATACATGTGATATGGATTGAAAACGTAGTCATGCCGTTCTCCATATCCACACGGAAAAATGAAATGACGACTGATATCCTGGCTTTCACCGTCATTATTTTTTAAAGTGAATTAACTCCCAACCTCAAAAGCGGATATTGGCCATATGCAACAACAACAGAGAAAGCAAAACCCAAGAACCCTGCACGAAACCAATCTGGTGGAAGCTCGATGTTTACCGAAGATCCCCCATTTTGATAGCTGAACCAAATTGGAATTTGCCTTCCCGGGCATACAATGGTAACCAAAGGCCGCCGATAAGGGTACTTTTCCTATAACATTGGTGGACATCGTATTATTTAAATGATAAGAAAATAGAAGCTGCTCCAGGTCTAATTTGTTAGAGAGCAAAGATACATTTGTATTCAATTCAATCACAAGAGTGAGAAAAACAGGGAGAGAGAGAGAGAGAGAGAGAGAGAGAGAGAGAGAGACATACATTATCCTCTTCTATAAACATGGATGATGCAGTTGCCACTCGCAAAATTCTGAGCTGTGCATCAGCCATTATGTTGCTCTTTGCATTCTGATCCAATGCTCGGCAATTAGAAAATTTATGCACCCCTGGAAAAAGTTCAAATTTGTCCCAACATTGTACGAGTGCAGTCCTTGAACTTGACACTGTCTTCAGGGATGTGCAGCCATCTGCTTCAAGACAACATAGCACCGGGAGCTCTGGTAATGATTCAAGCCTATTGCACATGATTAAGCACAGGCGAGACAGCTGAGAAGCTTGTTTTATGCTTGCAGGTATGTTCTTAATTTTGGTTCCACTTAAATCTAAATCACGTAATGAGGTTAAGCAAATGAGGCCAGGAGGGATTTCGGATATACCGCTGTAACTGAGGTCTAGTACTTCCAAAGAAAGCAAACTGACTAAGACAGTAGCAGGAAGCAAAGTTTCAAGTTTCCAACAGGAAAAGAAGCTGAGAGTTCTGAGTTTGGTTAAACTGTAGATGCTGTTCGGGAAAAACTCAAAGTTCTTGCACAGACGAAGATCTAGTGTTTCAAGTCCAATTAGATATTTGATTGATGACGGAAGCTCTTTAACCAATGTCCCTTCTAAACAAAGAAACTCCAGATCCTTCATTGGCTCCAATATTTGAGGAAATTCGTAAAATGCAGAGCAGCCAGTGAGATCAACTCCCTCAAGAGATTTCAACTTACAAATGCTTGTTGGAAGGCATTTAAGCTTTTCACAACCTTTCAGTCGAAGTTTTTTTAGAACATAGAGAAACTCGATTGATGAGTGTAGTTCTTTAATCGATGTTCCTTCTAAACTGAGAAACTCCAGTTGTTTCATAGGCTCCAAGATTTCTGGGAAGTTATTGAATTTAGAGCAACCAGTGAGATCAAGTTCCTTAAGAGATTTCAGCTTACAAATGCCGGTTGGGAGAGTCACGAGCATTTTGCAATCTTTCAGTTGAATTGTGGTGAGACTACAGAGGCGCTCCAGTGATGATACAGGCAATACTTCTATTGTTGTTCCAGTCAAATCTAATACACTTATATCCCTGGGAAGCTCCGAAAACTCGCCAAGAGAGTAACAGTGTTTTAGATTAAAAGTACCGGAGACTTTCAGCTTACATCTGCCGCTTGGAAGTTTCTTAAGGTTTCTGCAATATCCAATGTTAAGCCTAGATATTTTTTCATTAGACCAAACTGATGAAGGCAATTCCTTTATACCAGTGCCTGTTAAACTTAAGAATTCAATATTGCCTGGCATCTCAGGAAGATGTTTGAGACGCATGCAACATCCAAGATTAAGATAAGTAAGCTTGTCAAGGTATTCAAAATACGAAGGTATTTTAACCAAACTTTCACAGTCAAGAAGATTTATATGCTCAAGTTTTGGACTCCGAGAGAGATTTGGCACTTCAGTTAGATCTTCGGAATAACAAAGATTGATCACTTTTAAGTTCATCAGATTCTGTAGAAAAAGTTGAAGAGAAATAGCAAGAATTAATAACTACTTATCGTGACTTTCTACATGACATTTATACATGAACTAAAATAAGAATAAATACCTTGTCGTCTTTCCAAAGCTGTTGAACATGGCTGTTGGGCATATGAAGCTCAACAAGACTTTCCGGTGAAAACTTTAACGGCAAAGATTTCAAAGGATATCCACGCCAGTAAAGATAACGAAGAGAATTTGGAAGATGTAGAGAAACCTTTAATTTGCAGTAGTCGCCAGTCTTAGAAAAATCCACACTGAGCAATATTAGCTTAGACATCGATCTGAAATCTGCATCGTTCAATTCAAGCTCTTCAAACTCAGATCTGTTAAAGAATATGGCTTGAACCGATGTTGTTCCCTGACAATCAAGAACAAAGTATAAATGTGAATACAACATATATACAACAAAACTTAATTGAAACTGCATTCATAGGAATCCGACTTGTTCATCACAAGTTTGCTAGTTTTTATTTTTCTTCTTAGGAAAGTGAATGCATTTGACTCTTACCGTGTTATTTCTCAATACATGATACACATCCTCAGCAGTGAACAACCTACTGCGTTTTCCAGGCTCTTCAATACATTGCTCCAAAACAATTTTCCTGCCCATTTCTTGAAGTAAATCATGCATCTCTATTTTTCTCCATGTTGAAACAACTGATATGAGAGACATGTCAATGAGAACCCTAGTTCCGGCTGCTGCAGAGAACCCACGAATATCAAACATTTTTTTTACATCATCCATACGCTTTCCTTTATGAAAACATGCTATATCCAGAAATATCTCCTTCTCATTTTTTTCTAATTCATCATAACTTCGTCTCAACACTTTCTGGAGTTTTTCACTTGGAAATTGTTTCAATTTTTTCAATTCGTCTTCCCACTCTTCTTTGCTCTTGCAATGAAATGAGGACCCCATCGTTTTAAGAGCTAACGGATTGCCTCCAGCATAATCCACCACCATCAGTGACAACTTTGTATAATCTGTTGTAGGAGTGCTATTCTTGAAAGCATTCAAATGAAAGAGCTGCAGAGCTTCATCCGGTTTCAATCCCTCAATCTCATATATCTTGTCATCTTCAACAGTTCGCTTAAGTGTGTTCCTATCTCTACTTGTTATAATGATTCTACTTCCAGTGCCATACCGAAGATGATCGCTAGCTAGATGCTCCATTTGCATTGGATCACTCACATCATCAAGAACAACAAGGACCTTTGTACGGCTGAGTCTTTCTCGAACAAAAGTTGATCCTATGGGTAGATCTTTTTCCTTTAATATCTCGCTAAGAAGTTTATTTTGCAAGCAGTCTAGTCCATTTGTTTGTCCTGATATCTCTCTAACATTTTTAAGAAAACAACAAGCTTCAAACTTAGAATAGAGCCTGCGAAATACAGCCTCCGCAACAGTGGTCTTGCCAATACCACCCATGCCCCAAATGCCTACAGTGCAAACATCTACTGTATCATTCATGCATAATAACAATTCAATTTGTTCAATGTGGGTTTTAATTCCAACCAGGCCTTTTAAATCACATGACGATTCGCGAGTCAATATGTTCCAAATAGTGTCGACAACTTTCTTAACTAAGTCGGCCTCTGTCCTGGCATATAGAATTATGAAGGACAAACAATTGTTTGTAAGTATAAACTTCCTTAATAAATCTGGTATGAATAGAAAAACTTGAGTAGATACAGAAATTTGTATAATTAAGTTAGGGAGTTAGTTACCCTGTTTTGCTGGAATGATCAAATCCAGATATACCGGATGCTTCTTTCAAAGCGGCCCTCCAGTTGTGCACCTTGTCAATTCTGCTCTTGAAACGTTTCTCAAGTTGAGAAAATGCATCTGCATAACTCCCCTGTTGTTTTCCCACATCTGATGGGTTGACTGTCGTAAAAAATAGGTATAACCATCTGCCCGTATTTTTCCTTGCGCTTCAGCATATGTACCAGTTCATCCAAACACCACGAGGAAGAAGCATAGTTTCGTGAGAAAATGACTACTGAAACCGTAGATTTCTCGATTGCTTCTAGAAGGGCAGGTCTGATGTCGGCTCCTCTATTAAGTCTGTAATCTATGTATGTTTCGATTTTCTTCTGACGTAAGGCCTCATGAAGATGGCTGGTGACACCAAGGCGGGTGTCCTCACCTCTGAAACTAACAAAGACATCGTACTTTTCACGAGAAAGGGGGATATCACCACCATCATCATCATGCTCGGTAGCAGCAGAAGAATCCCGAGAAGAAAATGTTAATGATCTGCACCAAATGTACAGCAGAGTCATGATGGTGATGAAAACTTGACAGAATCCGATGAACTCCATCTCTACTGTATCTAACACTGAAAATCAAGCAAATGAAGCGAACTGAGTAATTGCCTAATTGGTTATAGATAGAAGAAAGAACATCGGATATTTGAGATGAACGGGATAGAACAGCACTAGAGCAGATTTTACTTCACCAATGGTAGTGGTTGACTTGAGCTGACTTGACTATTTGCACAAATTAGTTACAATTTACAAACACGTACACCAGAAAATTCAACGGTAGACATGAAAATATAGAGAAGTAGAACGGAAGTTGCCCGAACCCTTCCTCTGAAGAAAATATACATTCAAACTTTGAAAGCATTCACGCCATTCAAATGGAATCCTTATCAAGTTGTCTGATTAATATCAATAGTCAAGTCAGCAACCAGACTTATGGTGTTGTATACTCCAGGGTTTAACTTTTACAGCAAGTAATAAAGTCAGCAACCAGCCAACCCTACATCTCCTCCTCCTCCTATCAGGTGTACCCAGAACCCCTCATACATGGACCATGACCAGTTCAACTGCTTGCAGAAGTCTCGCACCTCCTCTCCTCCTAGTCTTCATCAAAGTCGGAGAAGTAAAAGGTCCTCACTTCTGCAAAATTGCCCCTTTGAGAGAGAGAGAGAGAGAGAGAGAGAGAGAGAGAGATTAAACTTTTCCGTTGAACTACGGACAGGTTATTATTGTTCAAAGTGAATGGAATAGCAGTATTATCGAATAGAAAGAGATAAGTTGGAGTTGGTTGCTTAAGCGGTATAGTGATAGCCAAGTTAGAGCATTTCTCGAAAAGAAAAGAAACATACCTTACATTGGTTGTATCAAGGTCGAATTCAATTGACAATTTTACATGGCTTCATAAGTTCATACTCATCACGGCCACTCTCTTTCTCCTTCATGATCTCCTATTATTACTGCTTCTGCGAAATGACACTGAATTATAATTTCTCAGCATCTTCGGCATTCAACAGGTGTATGCCACACTTTTTGACCTTCACGTACGAAAGGAGTTCATCAAAAGTATTCAGTGGGCAAATGAAGTGATTGAAAATGAATGCGTTCACCCTTCTTCATATTCAGACGGAAAAATGAAAAGATTACTGATTCCACAGCATTCACCACAATTACTTTTGACATTGAAATGAACTTTCAAACTCAAAAGTGGAATCAGAAGATATAGGTCGTATGCAACAACAGAGCATAACAAATGTGTACATTTACCATAAAAGAAAATTGGGTACTTTTTATACAAAAAAAACTGGTACATTTTAGATTAAAAAGTGGGTACATCTTCTGTTCCATATCTTCTTCTACTTGTTCTTTCCAGAACTTGAGATCATTTTTAATTTCACAGCATTTCGGCAATTTCACTGACGTCGGACTCGTCACTTGATTCTTCACGCTCATCACTTCTACTGGCTTTAGGCTCATAACGCTTCTGACTCATGTGTTCCCATGTATTCTTCAGCTTCTAATTCCCTTCATAAAACATCAAATTTAAATTTCGCAGCATCTTCGCCGTGCAACAGGCAGACACCACACTTTTCCTCCATCACAAGAAACAGGTTGGCTGGAATTATCGAGAGGTAAGAAGTGAACGGACGCAGCAGTGACAAGTTTATAAAAATCAGTGGAGCATTTCGCTCCCTCTTCAAGTTCAAAGCCATTATACCACACATGTACATGATGTGGATTAATATTATACTAACCTTCATCACATGGAAATTTGTAAGAACAACTGATTTCACGCATTTTGCCATTATTCGTTGTGAAATTGAACTTGACTCCTAAGCTGGAATGCATATGTCGGTGGAATGCAACAACAATGACAAAGAGAGGTTTTGAAACCTGTTCAAAACCAATAGCGATGAAGCTTGACTTTTATGGAAGATCCCTCATTCTGATAGCTGAACCAATTTGGAATTTCATACCCCCGACATATGATGGTAACTAGAGGCCCATAAGAGTACTTTTCCTGTCACACTGATGAACATCATAATATTCCTACTCGTAATAACATAGCAGCTGTGTACTTCAACAGAAGTGCATGTGTATGTGTATGTGTGTGTGCACGCACAAGAGAGAGGGAGAGACAGAGGGAGACTCCAATCCAATGACGCAGTTGCCACTTGCATAAGTCTAAGCTGTGCATTGGCCATTATGTTGCTCCTTTCATTCCAATCCAATGCTCGACAATTATAAAAATTAAATTCCCCTCGAAAATGTTCATATTTATCCCAACCTTCTATGATTGTAGTCCTTCAGTGATGTGCAGCCATCCGCTTCAAGGAGTATCAACACTGGAAGCTCTGGTAGAGATCGAAGCCTCTTGCAATTCACTAAGAAAAGGCGAGACAGCTGAGAAGCTTATTTGATGCTTGCAGGTATGCTCTTAATCATGGTTCCACTCAACTCTTAATCTCGTAATGAGGTTAAGCAAATGAGGGTATCAGGGCCTCACCTTCTTGTTTTCTTCATGTATGTGGCGCAAATATTTGTTGTTGTGGTTTGATTTCAGCACAACAAACCTCGGCGGAGTTGGCATTTTAATTCTCTCTTTCTAGTTTCTATCCCGTTCGTTCTCAAACAAGTCACTTCAATTTTTCTTTGTGCAAGATGCATTCTATGTTCAACGTACTTTACCAGCACACAACAGAAGAATAATGAGGATTCATAAACAGCAAATGAAACAAACCATTCCAAAACCAGAAAAAGCTCCCAAATCAAAAACTCAAACATTTTCCGTGACAAATGACAATGCAAGCCCTTCATTAGATTGTGGTAGATTTCTTTAAACATCAGACCTTTACAGGTTTTGAATAATGATGCAATCAAACTGTGATGACAAATCTTCTAGTCATACAGATAAAATCATTCAATCTATGCTAATCAAAATACACATCAACTCGTATAACCCTCCTATACTTTGGCAGCAAATATCTCCTGGAGAGCAGACCAAGTTCCTGAAACCGCAAGAACAATTCCTAACACCAAAATGCTCACATCAGAGCACCATTGCCCCCACCCCATCTCACTCTTGAACACGATCAGATGAAACAGAGTCGGCACCACAAACCCTAATGCACAGCACACACCACTCCCCACCAACGACATGAAATCCGCGAAATTGGGGACCAACAATGCCACCAAGATCACTGCCAAAACCAGCATCCATCTCATCCACAAGCAATACCTCCCTCCCCAAAACCGCCTTTCGACAATCTCATACACCGGGTTCATCATTATAGGCAATGTGAAGAACAGATTCACCACAAGGCCAAGCTTCACCAGGGTACTAATCAATCCTGCACGGTAATTAGCCGTGATCATATCCTTGGTTTGGTCCCCAAATGCAAAATAACCAAGAGCTCCAAAGCTTCCATACATCAGAGAAATGAATGTCATTGTCCAAGCCAGAACCTTCCCAAACTTGTCCTTGTCTTTTGCCTCCGACTCCAATGGCAGAACCATCCCAACCCCTTCGAAGGAGTACACTGCCACGCCTAGCCCGTAAAAGAACAGAGAAAGGTCTCCAAATGCCTTCACTTCCGGCATTTTTTTCAACATAACCACCACATCCTCCACCATCACAACCCCCATTGCTCCGAGATCAATCACATCAGCAAAAATACTCAACGGGGCCAAATGGGTCAGTGTTGCAATCGAGTTCAACCCCAATTGGAAGGGAAAACACCCCCAAATGTAGAAGCTTTTGGGTGCCAATCCCAAAATCTGGGGTGTCAAATCGGATGCTGTGGGTGCATTGAGCAAATGTGCTAAAGTATTACCGATGAAAATGAGATACCCGACGCAGAACCCGGCCTGAGCAAGAATGATCAGAACATCCACCAGCAAGCGCCCCCAAACGCCGCAGACGGCGAAACCCAAATCCCCAAAAGACGGGATCCTTGTGAACCCATTGGAAGACTCGAGCTTTCTTCTGGTATAAACGATCAGCATCATGCAATGGTGGGTGAGGAACGCAACGAGGAGGAGCGTGAGGAGGCTCATGAGCCACCCGGTGCGCTTGAAGGAATACGGGAGGCCAAGAACGCCGGCTCCGACGACGGCGATGAAGACGTTGGCGAAGGTCTTGGATTGGGACGACAGCGGCTTGGGGTCGCCGATCAGCGGCGTGTTCTCCGTCGGGGGCGGCTGCCTGAGACGCTGGGACGAGGAGGTTGCCTCCTTGTCGCCACCCATATTTTGATCTCTGTTTTGATTCTAGACCCTGAATTAACAAAGACCAATAACAAAAGTCGAGGGAGACGGTGTGGTGGGGTCCAGGGTGGAGAGTTTTGAGAGATTTATACGATTGTAAGTTGCCAAAAGATTGGGGAAGATATGGGAGGGAGTTGCGGATGACGGTAATGCGCTTGGTTTGTTTTTGTTTAAATTTTCACCTGATTGCTGTATTGGATGGAAATACAAGGAAATTGTTTATTTTTCATTTAACTTGATCAAGCAAGAAAATGAATCCTTAACAAACACAACTTCTAATTAGGGGATTTTAGAAATAGAAAGGCTTCTTTTTACTGTTGGAGAATAATTTGCATGAAACAGAGATTACATATTGACTAGAGATAAATTGTTCTTCATAGATTAAGATACGAGTTAACATCGTCATCTGATATTTCTTTTTTGTATCTACTAAGTCTTTGCGATTATGATCTACAAAATAACATTCGATTACAAAAGGACTCATTAGGAGTCATTTGAGTCAAATATTAGCAATGCACTATAGTGCAATTATGATCACAAACCTTTGATTTGAGTATACAATTGAGGCATTTCAAAGTTCTTTCTTAGGTATTGTATTTTTGGTGAAGGTCCAATGCACTCTTCTTACAAGATCTTCTATCTGGCATGGTTTGCGACCTTTGTTTGTGGATATTTGTCAAAACTCTAAATGGTTGGTGGGCACTAGTGCTTCTATTAGTTTTTGGCATGCTAATTGGATTGGTGATCATGTTGTGAATTGGTGTTGCCATGTCGATTTAACTGCCCACTCTTGCTGCTATTTGGATGGAAATTTCAGGAATTAAGCTTTTTTTGTCAGGAATGGATGATAAATTAATTTGGTTGCCTTCTTCTGATGGTGCACTTTCTTTATCTATGACTTATGATTTTAAGCCAAGTTAACAATCAGTTGTTACTTGGGTTAGATGGGTTTGGCATGTGGACAATTGTGGAGCATGTGTCGATTTAACTGCCTAGTTTGCTTTTGTTTATATTTTCACCTGATTGCTGTTTTAGAGAGTTTGATGGATATACATGGAAATTACTTATTTTTCATTTAACTTGGTTAAGCAAGAAAATGAATAATAACCAACCAACCAATCATTAACAAACACAACTTATAATTCGGGGATTTTAGAAATAGAAATCCCCCTACCCATATGACATTATGTTTGCCTCAAATTTGTCACGATATCACTTATCTTTTTACTGTTAAAGAATAATGCGCATGAAACAGATATTACATATTAACTAGAGATATAATGTTCTTCTTAGATTAAGATATGAAGAAAAATCGTCACCTAATATTTTTTTTTTTTTGTATTATCTACTAAGTCTTTGCGATTATGATCTACAAAATAAAATTCAATTACAAAAGAAC